TATGTGTATTATTGATATTTTATTGTTTAGTAATTGCAGGAAAGAATAAACAAAAAAAGAAAAAATGTTTATTGTAAGGTGGAATAACTTTTTTTGCGTTAATCTTGCAGTAATCTGAAAGTGTAATTAATTCGTATTATATTAGTATATCGTATTCTTTCTTAATGTCAAATTTTCCTGGTATATATAGCTAATAATATAGCTACCATAAAAAAGGTCTGAAAAAGATCATTAAAATTATCTCGTTTCATTATTTTATTGACCACACAGCCTTAAAATCTGACCGTACACATGTCATCATACGCCATGTCTATACGCGTACATGATATGCGGAATGTTCGAAAAGCACCGATTTCTTGTCAAGGCTTATCATTAATTGCGAACTCTGTATTAAATATAACTCTATTATACCGCAGGTTTTATTCGTGAAGAAAAGTATTAATAACATTATATATTAAAAGTGTCTAGATTTCTTTCTTATTTTTTTTTCTAAATCGTTTGACGTGTCTTGTCACGTTATCGCATATTAATTTCTGTGTAGAAATCGTTTGTTTACAAGACGAGTCGAATAATAAACTAAAATTATAAATACATCTAAATTAATATTTGATTAAAAATATTGATATAGTAAAAATACATGTATGCGAAAATATTACAATCGTATAAATTGTAGATCTATAATTTTAAGTTTATGTAAACTGATATGTGCAGTGGTATAGTTTCTCTGTTAACATTTTTCTTCACGAATTATTTTTTATACCATCTTTTTAAACAACTTTTTTTAAATATTAGTGGTTATGTCGTATTAATTTATTAAAGTTTATTGGTATTTATATGTGTGTATATTTATGAATGGTTTATAAGTGCCATTAGTTTTTGTAAATATTAAATGTGCGGTTAGATATTTTTATTTCAAGAAGTACAGTTTATCTATAACTGCCGATTGATTGCATTATTTAAAACACAACATTAAAATGATCAGAAGAGAAAGATGAAAACAAAAACGAAAGAGGATGACATAGAAACAAAGTAGAAAATTTATATTATCTTTTCCAGTATAAAAATTATCACAAAAATAAAATACTTCTTATCGTGGTTATTCGTATTGTTAAAGAGTTTATACATAAAAGTAGCTTATTACATAACTTATGAGTTATGTGTAGTTTGTTTAATCTGGCGTTGCAATATGAAACATGATATGGAAGTTATGAATTATTTCAAATTATTTTTGCGAAATAGCATTGCGAAATAGTATTGAAAACTTATTTTGCAAAAGATTCTTATTAATTTATTAAGTTGAAAATATACGATATTTAAGGTATAACATAGAATTAATCCATAAATAAATATATTAATTATAAATAAATTAATCTAGGAATAAATAAAATGTCTAAATTATTTACGCATCTTTTACTGCATTTCCAACTTAAACGATGTTAATTATCGTCGCACCGCATGTAGATATTTGCTTTTGTAAAAAATGTCAGGCTGTTTTAATGTCAAATGAAACGTTTTTCAATATATTAATACAGTCAATTATTTTTAGTATATAATCTTTTTTTACTTATGTATACACCTCAAATTTAAATTGTACGTTGGGAAGTGTAATTATTATATTGTAAAGTTTTATTGAACAATAAAAAGTTTATCGTTGTCAAAATTATTATATCGACAGTTATGTCTCGGAAAAATTATGGACCAAGCGACAAATACGTTCTGAAACATACATATAAAACAGAAAATATTGAAAAATAATAAATTATATCGATATATGATGAATTAGAAAATAATTTTTAAGCGACTCATTGCATTTAAATATGTATGATAAATTCACGTATTATATTTTATTGGAAAACAGGGAAGGGTTGGATTCTAAACAATTGAAGTGAATCTCTTTTCTATATTCCATAAACGAGTATCAACTACATCGTAAATCTCAATACAAAAAATCGTTGTTGTAAAGTCCCTAACCGCGAAATTATCGACAAATGAAAGAATAAAAACGATGAAAGGAACTGTGACAAGAACGGTGATTTTCCAGCATTCCATACCGACGTTCATTATGTTACATCGCATCTGTCGATCTCACGAAGCTGGGTTTTCGCATTGGTAAATCGCTGTCTTATTCGAAAATCGTCGAACGATTAATAGCAAGCTCAAGGAGAACGACAGATGATATTTATGAGATGTTTTACTACGTGCTACTTATTATAGTCGTTTCTTATATAGTTGTATCTGTAATTGTATAGCAATTAAATAAATATCCTGAAACTCTCGATCGTGTAATTCCGTTTTATTTTTATCTTTCGTTCCATCATGGTGCGCAATAGTACCGATCTTCTGGTTTCTCTCTTTTCTTTCTACTATATTTAATTACGAAAATTTATGTATTCGGTGTATTTTTTGAATTTCTTTTGTGATATATTACGATGTACCTGTTGTTACTTTCGTTTTTTTTTTGGTGCTGATCTATGCCCACATTTTGTCGTTGCATCTTCCTCTTTTGCAAAGAATTCGTTTCTCCCTTTGTTTTAGCAGCTCTCTTTCTGGTCTTGCCATTGCATCTTTCGCAAAGGAAGGACGATGGAGCGAAAAGTTACGATAAAAAAATAAGCAATCGCTTTATATCTTACCAGTTACCGACTGACACGCATATGTATTTAAACGTTTTACACGTCAGGCGCTTTCCTTTTACGGACAGGAAATACAGATTATATTTTTGCTTGGTTTAATACGACCCTCTGTGGCGGTGCTTTTTATTCCGTTCTGGTATATCACGTCTTTAACCAATTCAAACTTTCATAAAAGCCAATAAATTTCATTCGTGCTTTGCTTGATTCGATCTACGTGTTTTAAATTCCCTTTTTCGGTTAAATAATTATGTGACTTATTTTCGCTTTCACTTATACTTCGTATTTAAGGTATAATGCACATGATGCATGTTATTTAACACTTTCATTGATATTTATAACCTTACGAATGCATCTGTATTACAATTTCATTACTTCGACATTCATCATGAAATGCAACATTACGTGGTTGGTAGTCTTGCTTTTACATAAACAAGAAATATATCAACGTCGATTTACTTGGAACTGGAACTTTCTAAACTTTGGATCTGAATTAAATCGAGGTGAAGGAATAAGTAAACGAGATTTATTGAATGAAATTGCAATCTAGGTCGGACTTACTGTAAGTTTGTCAATAATCTACAAATTATATTTTGAAATGTATAATGTCTAAAATGTGAAACTTTTGTAACTTTGCATTGAAAAACGTTGCCCTGCCTTTCATCAAACGTTCGATACATTAAAAATATTCGCTTAATCGAGTTATGCGTGATTACTTTCTAGGAACATTTCTGTTGCGTTCACCGTGAGACTCTCGCTATGTTTCGTTAAACACATCGTCAGAAAAAATGTTCCAAACATAGCAAATATTTCGTAATTAGCAGTGGTCGGTTATGCTGCGGTAATCTAGTGTACTTTACAGTTTAGTCACGAAGCTGATATTCTCATAATTGATCCACGTGTATAAGTTCCGTATGTTAAAGGTTATCTCAAGTTTAAAGTAACTTTAAAGTTTCGGTGAATTCGAGCCTACCATAATACTTAATCGATATTCGTTATTCATTGCAGTGTTGTATTTGCGGCACATGCGAACGGGGCCTTTAAACAGAAACTCCTCATTCTTATACGATTTAAATTCATTGTATCGATTGCCGATATCTCGTGTGCATATTTATCTACATTAATTTACTTTCCGGTGAAACAGATTAAGAAGCTATTAACTTCCCTTCTAAAGAATTATAGGATCGTTTTTAATCGTACCCTTACGTATATATCTAAGTTCGTCAAATAATTCAGACGTACAACGATAATAGAATAAAAATAATCCTCTATTGATAACAATAGGTACATCAATACACTGCTAAGTAACAAATCTTCATTTTCAAAGTAATATATTTAATTAAATAGTGTAAAGCAGAGTCGACAATACTTTCATTCGTTGAAAGCGGTGTTTTGCTATCTTTTCTACCATTTCAACAATAATCGACTATTACTGGAAACATTTCAACAAGATCCACTACTTAATGGTTGATCTCTTGTTGCACTCTGTGTAAATGGAATCTTTTCATAAACTATAGTCATAAATTCTAATTTTTCCATTAATCGCAATTGAAACCACAATGGGTTCGTCGTAACTAAATAAAGAGCATCGTATCATTCTTTTTCCCCCCTCCATTTAAACGTAAATTACATATTTACAATCGCGAAGCGGTCTCCGTTGGCACTTCAAAACAACGTCACAATTCCTCGACCCCGTTCCACAATTATTAATGACACGAAGAAGAAAATGCTTCGCTTTCGTTAAAGCAAGTAAGGGCAATCATATATGAATTTGAAGGAAAAATCAACAAATATAACGCAAATAATTCAACAATAATGATAATTCAATAATTCAATGCACCATGAAGCTTTTATAGCAATACTGTGTCTTCCCTCCTATGCATTTGTTACAGTGCTTTTTTCCCGGAGCACGTCAAGAATCTTATTCAATGTTCTCCAAGAATTTTATCTCGAGGAGAAGCATTTTTATTTGAAGTTTTTCGATATTCCGAAAAGTCGACGCTGAAATCTGTATTCACCAGCGATCGTAACTTCCCTTATTATTAATTATCGAGTTATAATTGTCGTTCAGCCAGTTGACGCGGAGTTAGAAAATTTTGCAACAGGAACGAATAATCGTATTATTGTTTTTAACTAGATCAATGCTTTTGATATTAGCGGTATTATCTCCACGTCTTCCGGTCTTTGCATACGTTCTATACAAGAATCGCTCCAAAACCGCATTCTATTCGTTTATCTATTAATATATATATATATATCTCTTTGGAGAGTTCTATTAATTCTCCGAATCCTGTGTATTGTAAATATTAAGAAATAGCAATCGAAGCAAAACTAAATACTCTATTTTCTCTTTTCCACTATATCGCCCTCTCTCTTGTTTTCCTTTTCTTTTCTCTTTCCCCAAGAGTAGAGACTGACTGAAAATTATATTAAAAGATTGTTCCCGATTATCGTAATTTGTTGTTCGACGAATATTTTGGAGAGATTCTTGCATTTACACAACGAACGAGATAAACACAGTTGCGAGTGTGTCGCGTGATTCTCGATATTCTTTTGACGATTAATTCACATTAACTTCACCAAAACCGATGGTTTTTGTGATCTGACAGGGTCGTGCGAAATTTTCCCAGCACATTTGATTGCATTAAAAAAGAACCGAACGAGTTAAATGGAATACAAATTTCATACGTTATTTTTTAACTGTAACAAACTTTCATTGAAACGTATACAATACGTAAAATACAAATGTATTGTTCAAAACAAGGTCCTTCGTAAACATTCACGTAGATTAGCTTTAAGCTTTTATCATTGAAGTCAATGAGCGAAATTGAAAAGTAGATAAATCAAAGATTAAGATAAATTTTCATGTACTATACTTTAGTGAGAGTTTTATTAATTGCTGATAAAATATTCAAATTTGCTCGTTTCGGGGTAAGTTTTTGCAACTTTTTCAAATCAAACTACATGCATTATGAAATATTATAAACCAAAGGTTTTGCATGGGATTTGAAATACACTTAAGTATCAAGAATTTTTCTTTCAACTTTCCGATTAAAAGCATTGCTTTTCTATAGTACGACCCTGTGCAGCAATGTTCAATAATCGGCAAATTAGCTTTGTATTTAACTGTTTCATTTTCCTCCTCCCTTTGCCACCTGGTCGGAAATCTTAACAACTATATTTATATCGTAAAGCATTTTGTATGCGTTTCTCCCGCGATCGTTTGCCACTGCGATCAACGAAGACGCGATCTACGCTCGAAGAGTGAACGATTTACTGATCCTCGATTTATCCTCACTGTCCATTATCTTTTTCAGCGAATAATTGTTTCTCTGAATAGTATAAATTCATAGCTCTATCAATATCATCTTCAGAGAAGTAGGTATTATTTTGCGTGTTTCTGTTACGTGAAAATCTTAAAACTTAAAATACGAAAGCTTAAAACTTACGCAATGAACTGGAACTGACGAGGAAGATCGATAATCTCAATTTGTTCAGTGTCCAAACGAAAAACAGGTGTGGTTTCGCTATCGAGTCGAACTGCGTTCAGAATTGATCGGATAATTAGAAGTAGCTCTTCGTAGTGCACGCCTCGTACCGACAATGCCGACACGTAACACGGTTAGACGACTACTAGACAGTAGTAGACGGTAACATTTCACACAGTGTATACGCAGTGGCATCGATCGCGGGTGGACGTGCCGCCACTCGTTTCAAGCCTAATATACATCGAGTATTAGGTTTACAAAACAGATACCCTACTTCATCGTAGGGTTTCAAGGGGTGAATCAGTGGTTTCGCAATGGAGAAGGACGTGGGGCATTTGGATAGTTGGAGACGGGATTCTAGGAAAGTTGACAGGGCTGGGAGAGACTAGTTTTACTCCCTTAATTTGTGCCAATCGGCGATCTGCCTCTGCGGTGAGCTACAAACTTCCCTCCAATGATTCAAAGCGGATCCTTGACAATTCGGTCCACCGAATTCGAGTCGTCCAATCACCTAAAAAATGTACAATTATGTGCATAATGGGTACGAGAAATATATTTTTTGTCGATTCTATCTTGTTTACAGAGCAGTTTACCGAACTACGACTTCTCTGAAACTAATTGGTTAATTGACAATTGTTATAGTTTCTGGAGTGTAAAAGATCAATCGCGAGATAAGACGAAACGAGTTCAAAAGAGATTTTAATTGTTCTTCGATTATGTTATTTGTAAAAATGTTGTATGTATGTATCATATATCTACATATAAATACTTTGACTTTAAAATAGAAGGTAAAGTAAGTGGCTATTATATAGTATAAGCGTATGTCTAACGGATAGAATAATTACGTAATTAATCAGTTTTAAGTTAATTTCGTCATCTCGCAAGAAAGATCTTCCACTTGAGAGCTGGAAATTCTGAATAATTTACGAAATAATCGGTGATTTATCATTACGTATATTTCCTATTAAAAGCGTTTCTCATTATTTCGATGTGTAAACGTATTAAAATCTTTCAAAAGTTCAAATTTATATTGTTATTATATTTTTTTAATTTTACATTATTATTATATCGCTTGGTGTTCTTTGTAGAAAACCCGAAACTAAATGATTTGCTATCAGCTTTGTTTCGTTTGATTTTATTTGATTGATCAAATTACTATTTGAATTTATTCGCTATGTCATGGATATAATTTGACCTAATTTCATAAAGTATTTCGTACAGCTAAATAAAAACGTGACATGCGGTAATCATTTTGAAAATTCGGATTGTTCACGGATTGATTTATCGATCGAACGAGAGTTCGCCATGCTTAGTTAGTGTTATGTTACGTAAGAAAATGATGAAAAATCACGCTACACCGTGCGAGTCTACGACTTTCAGTCGCGTCACGCTATACCTGTCTATAGTGTTACAGTTTGAGGGTCGTACAGTATGATACGTACACACGCACCACTGTATGCATGTGCATGACTTAATTGTTCGATCAATCACATACATTTTTGTTGACTAACACTAGTACGAACGAAATTACCTACTAGGTATATTCCTAGAAATTCTTAGCTTCGCGTTTTGCATATTACGAGAAGGATTTGTAACATAATACTACGTTACATCTTAATATCTTTAACTGTAGAAGGAATTCTTAGGTTTTTTTACAGATCTCACGAAACTGATTTTTCTCTTTCCGATTTGCTTTTATACGTTGCCTACTAAAAATGTAACATTATAATTTAAAATTATAATCTAAAATTTAACTTTCAAATTTATTTTAATTTTATTAAATTTTAATATTATAACTTTTAATTTAATTCAAATTAGAATTTCAAAAGATTGACGAATGCAAACGTTACCAATAATTACATACTATATAACGATTATTAAAAGGTTTTATTTTCATTTGAAAAGAAATTATTTAAAAAATTTCAAACTATAACTAAAAGTCATGAACCAGACAAATTATCCTAAAGTTAATTCCAAAACTTTACCTTCGTTAATAAAAAATCACTTAAAAATACACTTCTAACTAGGATAGTAACGAAACGCTAAATAATGCAGTGATTATCCACATATATATGCATTACCTATAGATCGTGCGCGTGAAAAACAAGTTAGAAATTGATCTTTTGGTGAAACGCAAGCAATGAATGGTTTCATGGATGGTGTACAAAAATTGCAAAGATAATTCGATGGGTGGTTTTGAACACAAAATATAAATACACGAAACTTTATCGGTAAACTTACTATATTAAAAATTGTTAATTATCGTTATTTAATTGGAAAACTATTAATCACATATGACCGAGGTTGAAATATTACTGTGATATCGAAAAGTCGACAAAACGTTTGTTTTGCAAATGTAACATTTCGTTCGTAAAGGGATGGAAAATAAATAAAATATCTACTCTAACTGCTATATATGTATATAAGAATATATTAGTAATTAAATTATAATTTCTAAGGAGACAAATTTGCAAATGAAAGTTGCATGTTGGAGAAATACTTGAATTTACTGATCAAAATGGAGGAACGAAAGTGACACGTAGTAAGCTAGAAACGCGGTTGAAGGTACGTACCTCGTTTCTTGTAACACGATCCCAATCGATCAGCATAAACTCGAGGCTGACGTTGTTAAGACCATCAGCACCGTTCGGGATGTCAAAACCGAATGATTCGTTAAAGACCGGACTAAGGGTGCGTTTCTTCACGCGCGTCTTCCTCTTCGCTATGCGCTGAGAGTTATACAAAAGATAGATCTTGACGTATGGATCTGCCAGCCCAGTCACGTCCATCTTCGGTAAATTCTGCGCCTTCAGCACAACCACCGTCAATCTGCTGTTGATCGGTTGCCAACAAAGGGAGACTAGCAGCTCACCTCTGCCTTGTGATTGAATCTATAATCACATACATGATTTCAATTTTTCTTTCACTATGAAATATAACGTTCTTTTTTGACAAGTAAATTGGCAAGTCATAAAAAGATAGAGATTTTATACTATTTGTATAGTTATCAAGATATCATTTTTTTTAATTTCTTCAACGCGACGTTTAGAGTAGCTCGTAGGAAAGAAAATGTAAAAAGTATTTCTATTGCATCGCGCGTTCGAATTTTATTGTATTGAAGCTCGAATAACGCTTTGTTAATAATAATTAGAACGGAAAAATAAAATTGACCGGATTTTTAGCCTCCTTCTTTTTCTCTTTTTCATCAAGTTTTGTCACATTAACAAACGTGTACCTTTTCCTATTGATATTACGAAAAGCTTTCATGGTTTCTTAAAGGAAGATATAGCTTTGGATGATCAATCTGTTTGCTAGATAATTAATTAAATAAAATTCGTTCTAGTATCTTTCTTTCTTTCACGAGGAGCTGTAAAAAAGTTAATATACAAATTACGTTAATTTTTTGTAATTTCTATTCTCCGCATTATCTTTGTTCACTGCGTTGTGTTGCGTGTGAGAACGGAGAAATAACATTTTTCGGAAAATGGTTTAACGAACGTTTGTTAACGCTAATTGTGAAATTCGACAAAAATTGCAAGCTATTAGTAGAGTAACTTGAAAAAGTTAATTATTCATTAGTGTTTTGTTTCTTACCTTTAGACTCCTAGGACATATTTTTCGACACAATGATATCTCCTGGTTATCAGCGTTCTCCAAATCGGGCACCGATGAAAGTGCACATGTCAGTTCACCGATAATATCGTCCCGAGAATATCTATCGAAGCTGAGCACTATAAAGTGCAGACTGATTTTCTGTGAACGATAACGAAAAAATACGTTTCGATGAGATATCTCGATTCGTTTTCTAATTCATCTAATCTTTATATTTATTTATATCTTGAACTCGACTAATGCTAAATTTAGAATATTTATGTCCTGAACTTAATTCAGTTTGAATTTAAAATATTATATATATTACAAAATCTTCACTCTCTTTTATCTTTATAAATTCATCACATATACATCTTTTTCTATGGACATAAAATAATCAAACATTTCATGCAACGAAGTCTAATTAACAACAATAACATATAATAATAACATATATCGAAACACAAAACGATAAAAATATTTACAAAAGTATTAACGCAGCTTAAGCAAGAAATATTGTACCGTATCGTCACTTTAACGTTATAGTTATTAGTTTTAACGTCGATTATTTGTTATCACTTCGTTTTGAGATGACAATAAAGAAAGTAAATAATAAAGAAGTAATCTCAAGCGAATTATTGGATACCATTGTAATTTCACTTTCGATCGTAATTCTCTATTGTCCATAACAAACTCTTAAGATTCACGCTCTTAACATTCAAATACCATTTAATTATTAACGACAAATTAAAGCAAAAAGAAAGAAAGAAAGAAAAAATAAAAATCTGTAATTTAATTGTTGCTTTTTAGAAGACAAAAAGTAGAAAGAATTTGTTACCTGAAGCTGGTCCTTCGATATTCCAAAGAACGTGAAATCTTCATCATAGACGGGGTCTCTGGTGTTTCTGAGTACCCTGGTCTTCGCTTGGTGTTGTTTATCCGGCAACAACTTCAATTTCACGTAAGGATCGCTGGTAGCTCTCGCAGGTAGACCCTTGCAGTTCACCACTGTCACTCCGAGTGCATTTTGTTCGTTTACGTACCGCAATTTGAATACCAATTGACCCATATCGCCTTTGTTATTCTCTGTTCCGTGGTTCTTTTCGCGTTCTGTTTTCTCGTTGTTCTCAATTTCCGCCTTGTCCCGTTCATTCTCGATGCTTAGAGTAACCTCGCCAGAAGGTGTCTGAGCCGGGGTGCCTGTAGTTGATTGAACGAGCAACCGATATTTTAATCGTCGATAACCCAGTCTCTTCTAACATGTTAATACGCTGGCTTAGGAATAATTTCTACCGAGTACATTCAATCATTTAGTAATTTAAAGTAATTTCTATCAACCATATTCATTATTTTACGTGGTTAGTACTTTAGAATTTATTTGTCCTAATTTCTCGTTGTACAGCAAGAATTTTTCCTTCCGCGACTACTGTCTTTTATGTAGAATTGGAATAAATTTTAAATGAACTTCCAAGAGAGGACGGAAATGTCGCTTCTAAGTTAAACCGTAGCAAACGTCTTTCAGCTACCAAGGTTGTAGAAAGAAGCTTGTATATATATCTTCACTCGTTTCTTATGACGCGATACCGACAGCTAAATAGTCAAATGTTTGATAGTAAAAGTAAAGATGTTAAAATTTATCCGATTCTTGTATCCAATTACGGAAGTAATAACCGGAATAATAAATTTTGTACAAGTTAAATGGTTATCAACGTGTTAGTCCTTAACGCTCGTGTTATTCAGCTAATCGTTGAAAGCGCACAAGTCCGCGTCAACCGCCAACCAACCATTTGTAATTCATTCTTCGTACAAATAAACAATCACGTTTTCGTATTTATAAAAAAAACGCTTACTTTTTTCATTTCCTACCTTGTGTTTTGCATTTTGTCGTATTCTAAACGTATGATATAGAGTTAAAATTACAGAAGAATGCATTAATATATAGCCAGGAAATAATTCCGCTGAAAACAAAATTGTGCATTTTCGACCGACTTGATTGTTAGAATTAGATTAGAAAGGGGAGTTAATAAACGTACTTGAACGAAGATTTATACCTGTACCCTGAGGTGTTCTTGGCTGTGATCCAGGATTCGACGACTGGGATCCGGTCGGGCTGGGCGTCTGTCCACCTGAACCAGGAGGACTCTTGGCTAGTCCGGTCGGGCTGGGACTTTTCTTCAGGTAGTGGCTGGTACTACCGGGACTTTTAACTGCTGTCGGTTTTCTGTGGGGCGGCCTGAACGCCAGGGACTTGTCGGAGTTCAGCTTGGTGTGTTCACGACGTCGTCGACAAAGCCACCAGGTCATGGCGACGGCGCAAAGTAGGAAAACGGCTCCTATACATAGTGCGACTACGGTCGTCGTCGACACTGAAATTCATGCATATTTTTCCTTGAAATTTTGTTACTTTTTATTTATCGACAGTTCACTGAATTTTTGTTTTTAATACGCATTTCGCTTGTGAACGATCATTATGGAGGAATTAGTAATCAAGTATGTGTATTTTATGTTTAAAATTACTGTACTTACATGCGTATATATAAGTATATGACGTTGGAAGATATCATCGTATTTCTTATAACATTTTGTAAATATGTGTCGTATTTTTTAATTTTCTTGCTCTTAAGACCTCAACTTACGACAAAGATTAAACACATCTTTCTTCTCTTAATTTAACATTCTCAGTTTTATATTTTAACCTACTCTTCTCACTGATTATAAAAGAATATTTTTTAATTTAATTTCTTATCGCGTGTTTTAATTCCATTACGCGCTTGAATGCAAGTGGCAACCGGTTGTAGTTAATGAGAACTGCAGGCCAGGGAAATATCTATCTAAAATCTGTAGTTATACTTTTTGCGCAATTAGCATCGAAGAAATTAATTCGTACGAAGACGAAAATACATATCGATCAGAGAAGATTTGAATTTCATAGGAAGGTTAGCCTCTCATTGCTGACTAATAGCAAATCCTGGCAACGTTGAATCATCGTGACAACGTGCGCGTCTTATTTGCTAGTTTAATCAAACCTCGTAAACGTCACGAATCGATCAAAAATAAGACGAGTTCCAATAAAAGTCACGCGATGTTGCTAAAATACAATTTATGCTATTTTCATATCTGTCTTAATAACGTTTTCGTTGAAATGCTATAAGAAACACTCGAATTTCATCCCTTATTCAGGGTGCTGTGTTTAAGTTTATACTCTATCACGAATAACATGGTCATCAAGTTTCCCTATAACGAATTATGGAACCGTATGAATTCGTAACATCGATCCCAAAACATCCCAAAACAGCATCAACCGTCGAATCTACGTATATACGTGAACTAATTGATACTGATAATACAAGCATCGACTGACAAATATCACATGTTGTTGTGTGTCGTTAACCGTAAAATCAATCATCTTCCACTATATGCATACATTGTCGAATTGAAGCAACTTATTAAATCATTCATCAACCATTGCGATTACATGTATAATTCTAAAGTAGTTAGCCTACGTTGACTCATCTACAAGCAGTTAACGGTACGAAACAACGAGAACAAATTCGAAAGTAATTTACATTGATTTAACTACAAGCAGCTACAAACAACGAGAAGGAATAAAATAAAAGCGATCGCAATCGATGGAAACACCCAGTCACGAAACGCACAAGATTACGCGGTGTAACAGCTGTCTGCGGTTATCGGCGCCACGATTTCCTCAATCCCGAACCAGTGTCCCATTCGAATCAGTCGAATGGCATCTTCGAAATCGAATTATTCCCGAAAGAAGGAGAAGCGATGCACGATGGTGTAATCGCGTAAATCGAGCAAAGAGCTCGGAATTGTGGTTGCGAAGGAGGATCGATGTCGGTTGAATCACGAGGATTGCCCGGTTCGAAGAAGATACGCAAAAAAGGCTAAGGCAAGTGGAATTTCACGTAAACGTAGTCCACTCACCGAAATCGACGGGTCGAATCACAGGTCCGTCTTCCGTCACTCCTCCGACCATGTTCGGCCACGTTTTCCTCCGTCTATTTGGACGCTTTTATCCGCGTAAGTTACTCGGCCACGACGCACTGAACGAATATTTACGGCGTGCGGACCGTTCGTGGTATTCTGAGGCGACCATCGGACGAAATGCTCCGATCAATAGTAACGTCCGGGGCTTGCGCGGAATAGACGTCGCTGGAAAAGGAACCAACGACGACCACGACGCCGACGATCAAGACGGTGACGACGACCATGACGCCAGGGACAATGCTGTTTCGATGGTCGTACGACGAAAGAAGGGCCCCCGTCCCTGCAGGTAACGAAGGATTTCACAGGATGATGCACTTGAGGGGAAGTGGCGCAACCAGGGGTCGAATCGACGGGATATCGATTGTTGGAGTAGCTTGGTTTTAGAACTGATATTCTGAGAAACGATAGGATGACTGGTTTTTATTACCCACGAAGGATGACTCATGATGGAAGAGGGATTTCAGGGAAAAGGGAAGAGGAATTAAAAGATTTGTGCGCGTTTCTGATAATCCTGGGATTTTGAAGCCCGAGAGAGTTAGGGTGGTGTTTTGTTTTTGACGTGTCACGGTGAGCGTGATACGATTGAGAAAGAGTTTGAAGATAGCGAGGTCTGAATGATAACATGTTTTATGTAATTTTTGTTTAGCGTAAAGACATTTCCTTTTTCTTATTTTTAGGGTCGATGATTCCCCTCTATATTTTTAATATAATGTTCCTTTTATCGTTTAGTCATTACGTTGAAAGCATATTCATACAGTTTTGTAACCGTCAGAATATTTCATCGTGAAATTTATTTTTATTTTTGCAATGTTACGGCCAATACCGACCCGGGGAACTGTACTGATTTTTAAGGAAACAATAGATAATATCTATCTATATTTATATTTGGGCGTGGACTACAGGTACAATGGACCCTTCTGCATGAAACTGACGTACTTACATATTTATAATTTAAATGTTTTGTTTTAACAATCTTCATTAATACGTTTTGAAATACCGATAAAAATATTACGATATAGTAATACCGAAGAAATTATTATATAAAGACTAATAATATAGAAATTTTGTATGTTCAGGAAGAATTATGCCGCGATATTTTTAATTATTTACTTCGGGCGATATTATTATCATATTTATATTAGTTATATTTATTAAAGTTAATTTATTTTCACCCCTTTGGTAAAATGGAGAAAGCATCAAAGTCGAAGGGAAAGGCGAGACTAAAAGTAAAACTGCAACTTTAATCCACTTCGCGCGAGTTCTGTTTTGAATTATCGATCTACATTACAGCTAACATACGGAAGATAAGTCTCTATGAGTCATCTATCGCCTCAAACCTTCTAATTAAGCGAATAAATTAACATTCGTATGATGGCACGAATCACGCATAAATTGCGAATTTTATGTTACTAATTAAATTAGGATGTCATATTTTTTACATTTATAATCTCAGAAATATATGTCAGATATACGTATACAATTTCTTTGTCTAAATTGAAGAAATTCGTTAAAACCGCCCAATATTTTAGAAATATATCTTGCCTTTTGTAATGTTAAATTTTTCTTCGTATCAAATTTGTCGAAAATTTATTCATACAAATATCACTTGTACTGGATCGAAATGTCGATGAAGGCCGTGTTGCGCATACATACGAGTGTATTCGTAACTGTGAAATATTTTTGAGGATCGAATACTAACCTTCTCATTCACGTGGACAGGTTCGTATTTTCTGTGTCCGAAAACACAAGCGATGATATTCGACGTGAAAATAAATTTCCGTAAAATATCGTGTACGTAGAGCGCGACACGGCGCGTGCACATCTACTACATTTTTTAAACGAATTGGGATTACGTGAGTGACAGATAACTGGTCTCATTTTCAAGCTTTTATAGAAATTATTACTAAATCTTTAACGATCGCGTAAATCTCTTTTTTTTTAAAAAGAATAGAATAGATTTTCAATCAAAATAAAGAAGTTCATTCGAATCTTATTAATAATTGGTTCTTATATATACTTTTTACGTAAATGCATTTCTTCAAGAACTTTATCTATAATAATTTTATACTTTTCTACTTATAATTTTCATTTGTAATCATTATTTTATATCGACATTTATTTTTATTGTTTGACGTTTTAATTTTTACTTTTATCTTTAAATTACTCTTTTGGTATTTTTCCCATGATCTATAAAATATCATGGTGTTAAAAATAAAACAGTTGTATTTGAAAGTAATTTCTAAAAATAGCTATTAATTTTAAATCATTGGTATTTTTAGCGACATATCATTGATAGGAAATTTAGGATCTCTTGAAATACAAGTTATATTAAGGACTATCGTATAAACGAACTTCGATCATTCCGTTAATTATAATTTAAGCAGATAACCGATAAAAACGATGACTCGTTTAATTATCTTAACAAATTGGAAGAGTCCGACCATTTGAGGATAAGTGTTAGCTTTATTATCAGCCGTCTTCGTCAATTACATCATCGCTATCTTATCTGTTATCCGCCTATGACGTCATTGGACTTGAATAAAAGCATGCGCGGTTCCATCACGAGGCTACAGCGCCATGATACGTGAAAACACTTTATCCGGGCGCATGTTTATCCACGCTTAACCAATGGGGCCAACGTAATGTTGTTACGTCATCGTTGATAGAACGCGTGTATATGGGAAACTTCAAAAGTGGCGAGCATAATTTTAAAAGTACTAATATTCAGGAGCTTCTAAATGGTCATATAAATATCGATAGTATGATATTCTTCCATAATCGTCGTATTTTCACGTTATCGTTGACGCAGTGTGGATATAAAGGATGCTTAAAAACTGGAAAAAAATGTGTACCAAAATGATGAGAGAAATTATTTGAATTATTATCTCGTTTGTTTTGTTTCCTGCATTACATATCTTTTACGAAACTTCGTCATTTCAACTGCATTTATAGAAGCAGATAACACATATTCACGTTAACCACGGATCAGTTGTATCATCGATATAATAGCAAATACTATAATACGTAAAATAGTGATAAATTGAAAAGTGACATTAAGTTTATCGTTTACTATTATACTGTACCTTGATCTTTTTTTATCGCTTCTCAGTCTGATACCAATGATCGAAGTGCAGTTGAATAGCACATAACGAATCTAATGTCACCTTACTTTTTATCACTGCTAGACCTGATAGCTAAGATCAAAGTATAGCAAAACAGTAAATATTGAATTTAACGTAGCTTTTCTTTGAATCATAACCTCTCTTTTAGATTTTTCAGCGCGAGAGTAACAAGCGCCGTTGTCAATAATCCGTTTGAAATGACCTGTAGCATCGTTCTACCAGCACTGCGTCAGTTGGTATGTGCGCAGAAGACAAATATCGAATGGTACGTAGTAACGTGGACTCGTAACTACGATCAGACCGGCTTTTACGAGCGGCTCGATATAGCCGCGCTGCGTGTGCTCAGTGTATGGAACAAGAACGACGGATGAACGACCGTATGTTGGATGATCGCACATCTATCCCAGAACGTCACTGGAATAATTAATAAATAAAGAAACAAAACGAATTTATAAATCGAGTGACCGCGAAAGGTGTGACCGTGTCGCAACAGACATGGGACTAAAGGATTTCCGAATAATCTACGACAATCCTTGGGGGACTTATTATCCAGGACAGACCGTCAGTGGAAATATCATCGTGGTATTAAACAGTACGAAGAAGATTCGTGGTATGTTATGCATATTCGAAAGTATTGTCGAGTGACTCAGTCAGACGATGTTATTTCCGGATGAGTAATATGTGATAGTATATACTCGATTAGTAATATCTAGAGATCGACAGGTGTTTCTAAGTGTTCGAGATACGCGACATTCATATGGCTTTCTTATTGGAAATACGGCTATGTGTCGCCGGACAGATCATGATGTGTAGTGCATTTTACAGATTCGAGGATATATGCAGTATTAGAAAATCAGGAGAGGTAGTGGCAGTAAGTACGAAGAAGTAACGAGAATTATTTGTAGTATTCTTCGTTTAGTTAGATAATTTAAACGAAGAAAAATCTGTAATTTAAATGAAAAAGGTCTTTGAAAAATTAAAGAATGACTGTAAACATTTAAAAAACATTTTACATTTAGAAAAGTAAGTTTTGTTCAAATTTAAATAGCAAAGGAATAAGTGAAATTATTTAGTATTTTCTATTAAGGAGATATTGTTAAATTATTTCCCATCTGTAAGAATTCTAAAAAGTTAAAGCGAATGTGGAACAAAGAACTATTACTTGAGTGTGGGAGAAACTATGTATAATATTAGATGCATTCTCCGTATACTGCTTATGTAGGAGCATGTTCTATTCTAAGTTTCCTTCTAATTTCGAAATGATATTCGATGTATATTGTCGAGCTCCTGTCGCCGCATTCCTGTGGAGAATATTTTTTTCTTCTTTGTGGTAAGGTGTAGTTTAATTATAGCACGACTATACACACCCGCACAGTGGAAATGAACAGTGGCGATCGGCCGTGGAACACTTGTTTTCGTCACGCTGTATTGTATTACTATATTATATATAACAATATTCTTCTAATTACTTTACTATAGCTAATATCCTATTTTAGTATTGGTATTATTTATTTAGTATTGGTATTTCTTTGCTGTAATATTATTTAATATCATGATTTGCTATTGTATTACAGTCTCTCATATGATAGAATATTGTTATTAATTTAATTTTTCTGGAATTTGTATATATTTTTATTGCTTATTTTTGCTAATTATTTTTATGATTTTATGCCTTATCACTTTTTACTCTTGTAACATTTTTAACAGATCACGAACGTTTCTTCTATAAGCGATGCTATTTATATTTTAAATTTATGTCAGCCACATAGAAATATTCTATAGGATTCTCTCGTGGTACGATGTTCTTGACATTTATTTGACGTTGATGTAATGTTTTATTAGCATCAACTTGCGGTTGGCTCGCGGTTAATTTTACACCATTATCTCATTGTTAATGGTAATTTCAAAAATGTGTCACTTTTTGTTTAAACCGAGCAATGTGAAACGCCTTAAATAATTGAAACTATGGAGCTCTGATAAGTTTACTATTCAGAGTTATCTGAAATCGAGTTAAACGTTAGAACCATACAAGGCAATGTATACTATCACATATTATATATACATTTATATCATACGCAATGAAATGGAGTAACAAAACTATTTAATTTCAGTATTAAATTACATCTATATTACCTAGAGCGAAGATGTGAAGAAAGTAATAATCAGCTTTCAACGTTCATAAAAACAATACCTCAATCTTACTCATATTGTATCGGAGTACAATTGTATTCAATTGTACTTAAATCAATATGTGATTTCAATTAGATAAATTTAAAAGCCATTACCGTATGCAGTATGAAATTAAGATTGATGAATTTGAACTATATGTAATTTCTCTTTATAGTATAGAATGTCATATGTATACGATATTCTATAATTTATGTAAGAGGAATATCAATTGATTAATAATAATATCTAACAATTTCATTATTTTTCCAGGCATATGTGTAAAAATAAAAGGTGTGGCGAATACATGTTGGACAACGGACAAACAGGATATGGATGAGAGAGGACAGTACAGAGATGGAACTCAGACGGTCACCGCACATGAAGAATACTTCGATACAAAGTATTATCTTGTTGGATCAGCTTCTGGTAAAATTTTACCTTAAATTATTTCATTGGTTAGAACTTTTATTGGAAAAAGTAATAAATTTTCTTTAGGAGGTGAAATCGAGATACAAGGCGGCGAGCATAAATTCCCGTTTCAATGTATTCTACCCATGAATTTACCCAGCAGTTTCGAATCCGATTTTGGCCACGTTCGGTATACAGTCAAAGCGACTCTGGATCGCCCTTGGAAATTCGATCAAGAAGTAAAGAGCCCCTTTACAGTAGTGTCGCCTTTTGACCTTAATCAAGAAGTAAGATCCTCGGTATGTATTCATCAGAAAATTCTCCATTCAGTGAAAATTTGGTGAACGTTTTACGATTGAAATTGAAGCTACGAATAGTTGACATTCGTTAAACAGTTATGGGAACACTCAGTTCCTTAAAATTTAGCATACATTTCGAAGTAGAAAATTAAATCGAGAGTGAAAATTTTCATATTTAAAATTTATAAAAATTATAGCAATATTATGTTTTATAGTTTAACTTTTGTACATACAGTTGATGTAGTAAAATTTTATTATGGTATAAAGAAACGCATACATTTTTAGGAAAAGGTGCAAGTAGAAATGAGTAAGACGTTTTGCTGCTTATGTTGCGGAACACCATCATTAACTGTTAACTATTCGTTACCAGTGAGGGGATACGTACCAGGTCAAACAATGCCAATAAAGGTGAACGTTGAAAATTTGTCAGGAATCACTGTGGAGACTATAAAACTCATTTTGTGTAAGGTATATACAGTTTGATGATGCTGATAAATATGCGATATCAGTGAAAATATTTCGAGATAATAATGGAATCACATGAAGTCCAGATCGTGACTTTTCGGGCTACCACACCGACCACTGATACTAAAACGGAGGAAATTGTGATAGCGGAAGTTTCCAAAGGACCCGTCGAAGGACACGGAACTGCAGATTATGAACAGAAGCTCGATATACCTCCACTTCCTCCATCGAACTTGACGAATTGTGGAATTATTGATCTGGAATATAATCTTAAAGTCGTAGCTTGTATCTCAGAATGGTTAGTATATGTTACCTTATGCAGAATATTTTATTTGCGAATTAATTAATTTTTATATACGCAAAAGTTAATTAATTAATTAATTAATTTGTATACTATTAATTTTACTATAAGAGAATTTTTTTTAATGTTACATGTTTCAAGTGAAATTAAATGCATGCGTTATTACATTTGTGAAGCATTATAAATAAATCAGTGCTATTCACTATTTGTATGATACGATGATACTATGACTCATCGAATGATCTGCAAAAAATGGCAATTGAACGACACAATGGAAAATTGACTGTATAAAACCGATTCTAGTTGCTCGTAAAAATGTTTTTGAATGAGTTAGAGCGGTTGATTCTATGTTAGGTACCATCGAAATTTGACGCAGAACACCCTTATATTTGTGGGCACGGTACCATTAATAAATTATCAAACTCCAAGTGCTCCATCGGCCGAAGGATATCCACAACCCTCAGAAATTGGGTGGACGATGACAGGAATTCCAGTTTCAAGCGTTGACGGAAGTCCACCATCGAATTTGTACCCTAATCTGCGTAAGAATATTTTCATTTATTTCTTATAATTATATAGTTTTAATGAATTAAACTATTGTATTCTAAGAAAGGATATAGTTTAAGAGTAGTTAATGTATAAAATTATAGCTCCACCATCATACGAAGAATCAACCAATGGTGCTAGAAGTCTGTGGGAACGTGGTGAATCCGAGTATATTTTTGGTGTGTCGAATCGTTTCGCGCCAAAATATCCCGTGTTCAATTTTGCGGCGAATCAGTAAACAACGAAATAAAATAATTTGGTGCTTTGTTTTGGGAAAGAAAAGCGAAAGTCATACACGCGTTACATATTACAGTCTGTAAAACAGTTTCTAGGAGCTTTGATCAAAATTAGGAGCTCGTGATTGTGTATGTTGTTTAAGTTGATAGCCTGAATTAAGAGTTGTTGAAGCACGTCTTGTTTAACTTTCTTTTAAAACAGAAGAATGCGGGCAAAATAATTAACCAAAGCAAATCCCAAGAAAATAATTATTTAAAGCATAAGAATGACAGTATAATTTAATTTATGTAATTTCTCATTAGGGATATTACATTTTGATCGAGATGCGGGTTAGTCATATACCACTAATGGCAAAAATTGTAATTAGTTTTGAAGGTTGCATTTCTGCAACGAAGAAATCGTTCTGATTAATTAAGGCGCACAATTAGAAAATACTCGAAATGCAAAAAAATACTATGCATATTTTTCTATGATATTTTTCGTAGGAATGACTACAATCTAAAGCAATATTTAACATTTTTAAACTGCCGATACAAGAACATTTAGCTTTTATGATAATTTGTTCGAGTCACATTTTTATATGTATTTAATTATATGCTATCATTAGTTATATCAATATATTGTGTATAATGAAGATACAAATCCCTAAATTTGTATTTGTATCTATCTTGTTGTCAATAAAACGTTCTTTTTCATACATTTACGATATTTAATTATATACTGTTGGATTATAGTAACTGTCATTATGTATAAGTATAAGTACAGGCTTGACTTTATATGCCAAATTGATTAAACGTTATAATGATACTGAACTATCGCAAAAAATTCTACATAAGTAAGTAAAACGCAATTAGGATACAATCGTTTACTGTGCAGACATTAGTTTCCATTCTAAGATAAATATCTTCATTAATTTGATATTTGTAAGTATACTACCACACTTGATTAAGTTTTATTTCATATTATCTTTTCATATAATAAAGTAATCAATTTTAGAGATAAATAAATATCTCCTATCTATAATTTTTATCCTTCGTGTGTTATTATTTTTTATTATTGTTATTCTATCAATGTATTTAGTAAAATGTACGAGTAAAACATTTCGAAAATGTTATATACTATAATATAGTATATAACATCTATAATTCTTGTCCTTCGTGTGTTATTATTTTTTATTATTGTTATTCTATAAATATATTTAGTGAAATGTACGAGTAAAACATTTCGGAAATGTTATACACTATTGCATGCTCAATAGATTACAGTTACATTCATCTCATTTCTGACCTTACTTTTCAGTTTTGTACTTTAATAAAGTCCCAGTTACTCAACCTTGTTTGTGCAGGAATGTTCTTACCTACTGCAGTTACGGTAGACGTGTAAATGTCTGCCCGAGAATTAAACGAATAACTCTTTCCAATAAATTAAAATCAATTTCTTAAATTAAAAAAATTAAACAAATGAAATGAATTTCTTCAAATAATTGTAAATTAATCAAAATTTTTAACGAATTAAAATTTCCCGTTCTATCGACGCCTTTCATGCGATTATAATTACTTAAAATCTTAAGTTTCAGTATATGTAAACTATAATAGTATATAGCGATTTATCAATTAAATTCTATCGAAAAATGAATAATATAACTGTGTTAAAAATAAAAACGCTTTATATCTTATTCTCTGGTCACGACATGGGCGTTAAAGGTGTCTATCGATTTTACGTTAATCATGTTTTGCGGAAAGATCTCTATCGATAACTTCGTCATATCGAGGAATGATTCGTCACACACGGTATTTCTTATCTATTTGCTGCATCTAGACAATGCATGACTCGATATCGTGCTGCTACATTTTTATTGCGGAACGGATCCTATCAGTGGCACAACGTTAAATTCGATTCAGGGGTCGCCTTACTTTTCAAGTTTCAACTTCAAATCGATAGAACCGTTGTGTTTCCCCTTTGATTTTATAGCGGAATTGTGTATTATTTAAATCGAAATGAAACACCGGAGAGCTTGTAGAAAATAATTTTTGTCGCTAACAACACAATTATTATTTGCAATTACTCAAAAAGATTTTTTCGTATTCACAGTAATGAAATTGGCTCTTAATACTTGTTCTTAATGAATCTGTATAAATATTCTCAAGTTCTTTCGTCAACTGACCATTACTATCCCCACCTCTCGACTCACTAAGTCTTGATTTGCTAACTGGCTGCGAACTCTCAGAAGTATGATGCGCAGCTTTCAACTCATAATATAATATATAAAAATAAGAAAATATAAATGTTTCCCTATTTGAAACTAATAACCAAACAAAATAATTTCATCCGCGTTTTTTCTTCGCATATCAATTATTTTTCGTTCATTATTTTTAGAAACAACTTTAATTACTTCATAACCGTGTACATATTAGGTATATACAAATTAGGTATATACAAATATTTTTGTAGAAATTCGTATGTCCACGAATGGACGGACCTTCGATTGGACCAGAGAAATTCGAACAGAAATGATATCGAGTACGGTTACACCTAACTTAAATTCCTTATTAACTCTTATATGCTAGTATAGCTAACATATCCCTAGATCTTTTCTACTTTTGTTCCTTCTAAATTAGAACGAAAAATATTTTGTCGTATAGCGCAAAAGAACTTTCTTTTATCTATAGCGCACTTGCATGGCGTGAAGATTTACGAAAGTCCTAATATAACAGAAATTATATCTTATATACAAAAGCTAGGAAAAATGAGACAGAATCAGAATTGCGCATCTAGTTCGATGCACAGTGGTGACAAAAAGTATTTGTGCATACCCTTATTTCCTAATGACACATTTTTTTTGTAGTCACGTGAAAATACTATTGTACGAAATGACACGAAATTTGATATGCTCGAACTTAACTAATTGCTATATAAATGTTATACTAAATAAAATGGCGTAGAGATACTTTTCGTAGCCACTGTAGGAATACAAAGGGTTAAGTTAATGGAACTATATTCCTATTGTATGTGGATCGAACAGAAGCTCCGTTGATTCGAGTGTTAACGAGGTCTCCTGTGATATCGTGCAAGAGTCGAACATCGACGTATCGCGGTCACAGAGGTATCACGTTTCAATTCTACTCGTGTATAACACATAACTACGTATTGCGATGTTCAATATACCGCATAAGTGTTAGCCGCTAGTTGGACAAATGAGGCGTTAAATTTTAACCAATTTTAGCGTACCGCTGAACCATAATCTATTGTTACGTAAGTTACACTCGAAACGTTGTCGCTAATTAAAGCATCGTGGTTTATAATTGAACGTGTCGGAACGGTGTCCAGCTCGACTCGTCGATGCTCTAATTTAGCCAGTTAAATTTCCATATTTGGAATTTATAGAGGCTCAGTGGAGTGACGTATTATCGCTATTCCACGTTCGATATCGTTGGACATGCAATAGCAAATTTCTAAGGCGTGGCAACGATTACTCTCGATCGAGGTAATTACATATTGCTGCACAAATATGCCCAGATGTTTTGATATTTTGTCGTGTTTACAAAACGTGTTTACGTTATGGTACCGGAGATTGCTAAGTAAGAAACCCGCATTTAAACGTGAATGAAGTATTTTAACTCCTTTCTGGCAACGACACTGATCATATGAAAATTTTAGATTATAAACTTTCACACGATCATTATTAAGATGACATATCTGCGGTTCGTTTACTAATTGAGAACAAATTTGTGTGAAGTTTGATTTTAAAACAAGTATGGAAAAATGTAAGCCTTGAAACATACCGGAAAATTAAGTGGTCGTCTAAGGCTGATCGATTACATGGAAGTATCACTGGGACGGTTTTGCGTCCTTGAGAGTAGCAAATGAAATATTCGTAGGCTATGGTCTAACTATTGTGCGGATGTTCAACTAGCAGGGATAGTATGGATTACGATAGAGGTAGGCTAATTTTCGTCCAGTTGTTTGAACATTTTCATTATGAAGAACCATTGCGTGGGACACACGTGTCTTTAACCAACAGCCGTAAAAATACGACCATTCGAATGATAATTTAATTGCAATAGTAATTCTTTTATGTTTGAAAATAATATTTCAATTTGCATGATAATTCTTTTTACGATCGTGCAATCGAATATTGCAAGATTGAAGTTTAGAATTAACATATTAATATATGTATATGTATTTCTCTCCTTTTATATATATATATATATATTATATATATTATGTATTAAATATTATACTATATAATATAATGTAATGCGTATAAAATAATATATTAATCGTGTTGAAATTCTTCACCAATTAATCATTCTGATGGTTTCATATTAATTTCCTTATTCGAAGTAATGAATAGATAATAAAATGCATCTTATTTGAATATATATCTAAATATGTACGTACTCGCTATCGTGTGATTTTGCAGTTATTTGTAATTCGTATGGAACGAAACAGGTGCAGGAGATGAGTAGGTAAGGAATTTGAACTGGAAAGTATAAAGTGCGTACGTAAAGTAGGTACGTAATGTGTAAAATTTCTATGAAATGGATACACAGCAATCAAAATTTAAAGTTTTTTGCGGTTATAATTATTGCATAGTACAGATTTAATCATTCTTATAAATTCAGAGAGTAATTTTCATCTGTTTCTACCAATTATATTTAAAACTAAAAAAAATTTATTAAATGTAAAAAAATTGTAAAAAGGAAGATGTAAAAAATTATTAATAAAATTAATTGAAAATAATAAAATTTTGTCACTGTATGTTAAAAAATGCTACTATGCTTATATAAGAAAAACTACAATATTTTAAAGATTTCAACACTACAAATTATCCTTACTGATATTAAATTTAGTAGCTTGAAAGCTTTAGCATACAAAATTAGTCCATTAAAAAGTCATTATCACCTGGAGTATGTCATGTTTCTTTCATCCCTTCATCGTTTCACTTTCCTACATTGTACAGGAACTTGATCCTCTAATTTATTTTGAATGGTGTATTTTCCCTTCTCTACCGTGTTATTTGACATAAAATGAACGGATAGTCTAGTTTATTCGTAATTAGCCATCTGACCAGCCATACATGTTTGCATAAAATACAGCTCCCTTTCTAAATTCTTTTAAGTTAATTATATATTTTCTTTGTTTTGTTGTGTTTTATATTTAGCTATAATATATTTCAATTTATTGAATTTTATAAACAAAATAGTAAATAGTAAACTAGTACATATTGTCACTGTTTGGCTTTTTTAGATAACGAAAGATCTTAAGAATGGTCGATCTAGAGTTTGTCTATAATAACGTAAATAGATATAGAATATTTTATCTATTACATTCAATTACATGTTGACCGAATAATTGATCACTTCGACTACTCTAATAAAAATTATTACAAAATACACGACTATTACATTATGTATATATATTTTTTTATAGTAACAGTTACATTACACCCCACTGTAAAAAAATATTAAATTATAAAAAGTTTCGATTTTAGACATATTGTTTGACCTTTACCAAATATGAGAGCGCATACAAGTCAGGTGCTAAGCTATTTTTAGCTTCTACAAAACGGATCGAGATAAAATATATCCTATTTTCTCTCCTAAAAATTAAGCTCTACACCAGAGAAAACCCCATCAAAATCCGTTCAAAGTAGTTCCTACTTTTAGTAGTTTTAACAAGCAGTGATACGAGTGC